TGCCTCAGGGCTTAGTTCTCGTGGCCCTTTCTGACACGCCCAAGGAAATGCTGATTGCCACTTTGGGGTCAGGAAGCAATTTTTCTCCAGGCTGGTTTGGCCGGGGATCCTGGAGGCTTTTTGTCATCTTCTGGGCAAGGAGCAGCGGTCACTGGGTGTGGGTGTGTGGGGGACGTATTTGTGAATTCCCTGCAATGTGCTGGGGGGTTGGACTAGATGACCCTAGAGGCCCCTTCTAACTCTAGAAGGCTGGCCTTGCCTCTGACTCTATGAAGGCTGGCCTTGCCTTTCACCCCCCAGGCTGCATCGTCTTCCCCCAGTGATTTCCCTGGAGAGATGCACAGCAGACCTGCGTGCGAATGTGCCAGTCTCCGTTCAGGAAGCCCCCCCAGCCCCTCCCCCAAAACCTTGCCCCGTTCATGACTTACACCACAGCCCGGACCAGGCAGCCCTCTTGGATGTGCTGTTCTCGGTAACTGCGGAGAATTTTGTAAGGGATGGGACGCCAGCTGGTCCGCAGGCAGCAATCTGTCACCTGGTAGTAGCCGGCCACTGCAAGAAAGAGAGAAGCGATTCTGAGCAAACCTTTCCTCATAGGACCTGGTCTCCAGACCCCACACCATCTTCGTTGCCTCCTCTGGACACGTTCCAACTGAACAAAATACTCTAGGTGAGGTCTAACCAGAGCAGAGTAAAGTGATAGCATCACTTCACGTGATCTGGACACCATACTTCTGTTGCTACAGCCCAAAATGGCATTTGCCTTTTTAGCTCCCGCATCACACTGCTGACTCGTGTGCAGTGTATGGTCTGCTAAGACCCCTAGATCCTTTTTGCACAGGCTACTGCCAAGACAAGTCTCCCCCATCCTAAAATTGTGCATTTGATTTCTCCTACCTAAATGCAGAACTTTACATTTATCCCCATTGAAATTTCACTTTATTGGTTTTAGCCCAGTTTTCCAGCCTGTCAAGATCATCGTAGATCCTGGCTCTGTCTTCTACTTCTTTTGCTCTCATTGAAATCCGGGGCTGGGAATCATAGAATCATAGAGCTGGGACCTCCAGGGTCATCTAGTCCAACCCTCTGCACAATGCAGGGAATTCACAAAGACCTCCCCCTCCACACCCCCAGTGACCCCTGTTCAGTGTTCCCTCTAAGTTGAGTGAGTGTGAGCTGGCTCACAGTTTTTTAGCCTCCGGCTCACACATTTCTGCCTTAGCTCAGGAAGGATGGCTCCGGAGCAAACTAATCTATGCAGGAGCCAAATCGCTCGCTCACAACTTTAATGCCAGGAGCTCACAAAGTAGAATTTTTGCTCACAAGACTCCATAGCTTAGAGGGAGCCGCTGTTCCATGCCTAGAAGAGGACAAAATACCTCCAGGATCCCTGGAGAACAATTGCTTCCTGACCCCAAAATGGGATAATCTGCAACAGAATCCACACCTCCCTTATTTGCATTACCCAAAAGGTGCGTCTGGGTAACTAAGAGCCAGTGATTATCAGTGGTGGGCGGCCTGACTGCTAGGAGATACTCCCCAGGTTCAAAGTCTCCCCCAGTATATACAGCCAGCCTACCTCAAGCTTCAGAGAGGGGGTGGGGATGCCCTGGTCTAGAATATCCAGATGAGGGGAGCACGCCATGACGTTTCCTCTCTGCCCCCAGAGGGGGGCTTTCTAGAGCAGGGTTACTCTTCCTCCTGCGTCCCAGACAAGCCATCCTTCTAAGCTGCAGCCCTGGGTTGGAGGTCCAGCCGGGGAACCAGAACGGCTGCCAGCCCTGCGGCAGAGGCAGAGCAGCCCTCGCGTCTTACCCTGCAGGAGGCTGCAGCAGCAGGTGAATGCCACCAGGCCGAGCAGCAGCCATTGAAGTCGTGCCATTCTGGATGCCAGGAGGTGAGAGGAAGCGGTCCCAGGTCTCGGGTGCGTCTCTCAGCAGCCTCCAGCAATGAGCCAAGCCGGCTCCTGCCTCTCCTATTTATCTTCCAGAAGGCTGGCTTTCAGTTGCACTTTCCCCGAAGAAGTGAGAAAAAAAACGCCTTCTCGGTTCCTGCCCCTGGGCACAGAGCCAAGGATGTCTCTGACCCCAAGCACCAGCAACATAAGAACATAAGAGATGCCA